ACTGCTCATCCAGATCTAGAACCTGGCCCCATCCCAGAGCTCTCGGACACCAGGCCCCCTACTGCCAGGGCCCCTCTGGGGGTCTCAGGTGTTTCACTTGTGCTGCTCGCATCCCCACCCCATGAGGCAGCAGAAGCAGGCTGTGTCCGCCTCCCAGCAGACGGGTACACTGAGGCTCAGAGAAGCCAAGTGGCTAGTGTAGAATAACACGGCTTCTCCTCTCTCTTACACCTACCCTCATACACAAGCCCCGTGGGCGTCCCTTTCTGTCTGAAGCGAGGGAGCACTCAAATTCTAGAATTCCTTGTTGCACAATAAACAACCAACAACTCAACAGAATTCTGATTATTCACATATACTGTATACTGTGTGCTAGATACTGATCAAAGAACTTGACAAATACTAATTTTCTCTCTATAACTATCTTAATGAGGCAGGTAAAATGATTATCCCCATTTTCTAGATGAGGAAACTGAGGCACAGAGAGAGTAAGTGACCCAGGGCCACACAGCTAGGAGGCTGGAGAGCCAGGGGTTGGCCCACACTTCCAGCCACTGCACTCTGCCACCCAGGGACTTTATTTGTTTCATTTTCTGTCATAAATTTTCTTAACAGTTTTACTGAGGTAGAATTTAATGGTATAATTTAAAATAGACCCACTTAAAGTATACAATTAAATGATTTCAGTAAATTTACAGAATTGTGCAACCATTGCAACAAACCCATTTTGAAAATTTCCCCATCCTCTCCCCACTCCCTGAAAGATGCTTTGTGTCCATTTGCCATGGTTTCAACCCCCAATCCGAGGCAATTACTAATCTACTTTCTGTCTCTGCAGATTTGCCTTCTGGAAATTTCGTATAAATAGAATCATACAATCTGTGGTCTTTTGAATCTGGCTTATTTTACTTGGTGTAAGAATGAACAGTTTTTTTGAGGTTGATCCATGCTGTAGCATGAGTCAGCACTTTATTCCTTTTTATTGCTGAATAATATTCCATTGTGTGGTTATCCCACACTTTATCTGTTCACTAGCTGGTGGACTTTGTGGCTACTTCCACTTTGCTGGCCATGGCAACTCAACTGCTGTGAGCATTCGTGTATAAGTCTTTGTGTGGACACATTTCCCTTTCTCTTTGGGTATATCTTAGGAGTGGAAATGTTAGTTGTATTGTAAACTGATGTTCAACTTTTTTAAAAAACTGCCACACTTTTCCCCCAAAGCACCACAGCATTCTCCATTTCCGTGCCCATGGATTCTGTAGTCTGCAAGGCCAGGGCTCCAAACCCAGGGCCACCCATGTAACCAGACTGAGCCTAATTAGAGCCCTAGACTGTCTGGGCAGTACAAGGAGGCCCTCAGATCAGCATTGGGTCAAGCTGAGCCTCTCCACTGCTCCTGATGGTTCAAGAAGCAGGTGGATGAGAATTCAGCTGTCCTACTTTCTAATCTTAAAAAAATTGCCCTCAGGGACCAAGATCACTTCTTAGGGAGAAATGAGTAAAGTGGCTATTAAACCAAAAGGAAAAACAGAAACACATATGTTGAGAAGCCAAGAGCACTCTCGCCAAAGGAACCAACTTGAGAAAGCAGAGGCAAAGGGATACCCCCTCAGGCGCCCCGGAGTTGGCCGGCAGCTCACACACTTTGGAAGCCGTTCCCACTCCCAGCTTTGTCAAGCCTTTTCCAACTTCCTCAGAGGCCCAGAGAGAGGGTGATGGGGTGCCGGGGGAGGGCAGATGCCTGGGAAAGCCATCAGGCTGTTCCTGAGCCAGGGCTCTGAGCAGGAGGCGCTGCGGGTCCCTGGGAAAGGGGGAAGGCCTTCTCAAGAGTGGTGCAAACCTCTAGAAAGGCAGTGACAGCCTACTGCCAGCCAGGCCAGCTCTGAGTTCTGCTGAATCTGCATTTAGGGGTACATATTGCTCTAAAGAGTCTAAAGATCGGAAGTGAAGAGCTTTCAACATTTCTGGTGGCAGCTGCAAATGAGCCCAGGGAAGTCTCTTCACTTGGCACTGCAGGGTAAGGGAACATCACACAGCAGAGCTGGACTGGAATCTAGATCCTTCCAGGACCATGGAGCCTGACCCTTTGGTCACCTACCCTCAACCGTGAGGCCTCAGGGAACGGTTTCGAGTGATTAGAATTTGCACTGAATGGCACCATTCAAAACTTGACACTGAAAGGTCAGCCAATCAAAGGGGCTCCGAGTGTTAACCACACCTGTTCTGGGTGGCCATCCACCCACACGAAGACCCAGCAGCACTGGGAGGTGCCTGCTGTCCAGCCAGGGCCACCACCCAGGGGACTTGTCGGTAGCTCTGCTGCCCTTCTCTTGTCCGCAGGGTGTGTTCAGCTGGACACTTGGCGAGCTGGAGAGCTGAGTGTGGCTTTCCGCATCAGGTCTCCCCTGGAGACAAAACAAAGTCTAACACCAGGTGTTCAATCACCGCCTGAAGTGTATCAACCACAGCAAGCCACAGGGCCCTGTAAAGCACCTGGACTTCTGCTGTCTCACCTGCGTTTGGGGTGAGGGCTCGAGCCTCAGGGCAGCCCACAGAGCACACAGAGGGAGCCGAGTTCCAGACTCCTGGTAACGACGTGGTTACTGGACACCAGAGCGTGGAAGGGTGGGTGCCCTAAGCTGAGCTCACCTCCTGGCCCGGCCGGGACAGGCACTAAAATGGGGACTTTCCAGGACTCGCCAGAGTTCCCTGCTTCCTGAGAGGAACAATGGGAGACAGGAGCAGGGCCCCCACGGCAGCCAGCACATCCTATCCACAGGGTTCACACAGCTTCAAAACAAACGCTGCCCCCGGTGAAACCTCACTTCCCTTCCCTGGTGTACTCTGCTGCAGGATTGTGGGCTGCATGATCCTTCTCAGAATGGCCCAACCGCTTGTCCTCAGGAGCCAAGACCCCCATCTGAGCTTAGCTGCAAGATCCAAAGCCAAGTGGCAGGGGAGGCCAGGGTTGGCTCACAGACGGTCCTGCACAGGGCTCCCTAGGACCTGTTTCTGGGTCTCCAGGGGGTGTCGGCCTGCAAAACTGTCTACTCGGAGCTTCTGGTTCCAGGCAGGAAGCAGCATCTCAGAACCTGACTCTGGCTGGGGAATGGAGGCCAGGACAGGTTCGTATCTGGATGAGAAGGCTTATTAGGCAGGGCTGTCTGACATCGCAGCGGAAAGGACTTCAGGGCCAGCCCAGGCCGAGACCAGTCCCCACCCTGAGAAGATGGAAGTGAGGTCTGGAGAAGGGAAAGTTCCTCTTTCCAAGCAAGTCCTGGCTGAGCAGTTACTGACTGCTCAATGACCCCATCAGCCCTGGGCCTCTGGTCCCTCTGCCTCGGCTCACATGGCAGAATTCTCCCTCTGCCCTCGCCCCACCCTATCCAGCAGCAGCCTGGGATGTCTTGGCAGATCCCGGGTCCTTCAAGGGCAGCTCTTCCCTACTGAGTCCACTATTATAAAGCCAGTCCCCTGCACTGGCCCTTCAGCCCAGGCACAGAAAAGATGGCCACTAACAAATACTGGAACGACTCACTGACACGGACTTTATTGGATGACTGGGCGCCATGCATTGGCTGGTAGGACACAGACCTGTGGTGGAAGGTGAGCCAAAGAGCATCACCATCTTGAGAAGCTCATATCTCTGCTGAGGTGTCTGAGTGCCAGGCCACCAGGGAGGAGGATGAATCCACACCAGAGTGGTGGGTTCCATCAGTGACCCCCGCGAGAGGACTGGTTCCCCACAGGCACCAGCCGGCTGTGCCCTCTGCTCCTGTGCCACACGTTGGTGGGAAGAGGTGCGGGGTGGGAGCCAGGGAGGCAGGAGCCCAGAGGAGAGAACAGGGAGGCAGCACATCACCTCACCACTGGCTCCTTTCTTCGGAGGCCTTCCTGCAGTCCGCAAGGTAGGGAACCCAGGGCCAGGTGGGGGAGTCTACCTGTGCTGGGGGTGGGGGCGTGTGTGTGAAGGCCTGGCAGTGAAAGAGAAGACGGGCCGAGACTATCCCAGAGCCAGTGCAGGGCCCTGGGGAGGGGGCCCTCGGAGCCCAGGTAAGGCAGAGCTGGAGCACGAATCGGGCTCTCAGCCCCCCGTGCCGCCTATCTTCTCCCACACTGGCCCAGGTGGAGGGGAGGGGGATGGCCTTTTGGGACTGGACAGCTGACAAGGGTGCATGAGACGCAGGACAGATCAGACCGAGTGCTCCCACCTGCCCTGCAGGTCCTGGCATAGGGCAGCACGGTGCCAGAGCCTGATGACAGCAAACACCCGGCCCCGGGCAGGGCGCTCTTTCGGGGTTGGCTGCTGACCCTGATGAGGAAGGGCCTGGGATCCTAGTCCCAAGCCCCCCTTCCAATCCTCTGTCAAGCAGCACAACCCAAGGGACAACAGGGGTTGCATTTCATTAAAAACTTGTGTTTCATTAAAAACTAGTTCTGATCATGAAGAATATATGTGTGTGTGTATGTATATATATATAAAGGCATTCTTTGCTCCATTAAACATCATTCATTGACTGAGAATTTCCTGAGTGCTGCACCGTGCCCAGACCCATATACTGGGGCGCTGGGGGCCCAGGAGAAGTCTAAGGCACTGGCCCTGCCCAGCACAGGGCTCCTTCTCCCTGGAAAGAAGCTCCCACTGGCTCCCACTCGTGGAAGGCCAGCGAGAAAGTCCAGAGGACAGACAAGGTCTGGCAGCAACCGCCAATGGACAGACGGGGCCCTTGAAGCAGCAGCCGGACAGCATCCAGCCTAGGCCTGCCATGAGGAGGAGGCACACCCCAGCTGCAGGTGTCCCTGGAGGATGCTGGGACCACTCTGCTCAGAGCTGCAGTGGGGATGCTGGCCCTATGGTCAGAGGCCTAAGGAGGCCACAGTGTGGCCAGGCCTTTCCTGGGAAAAGAGGAGGGAGGAAGACCTGGGACCTGTCAGGCCATTCACACCCCAGAGAGCAGGCTGGGCCTGATTTCCTCGAGCTTGGACACATGGGAAGGCACCCTGCTTAGCGCCTGGTAACCAGAGATAGCTTAGGGTCACCTTACCCAGCCAGGCTCTTCTAGGCACCCTCGGGACCCTCCCAGGGTCTACGGACCCCAGAAGCCATGCTGACCAAAGATTCCAGAGTGGCTTGGTATAGGGACCCCCCAACCCCCCACAAGTTGGCCAGGCCCTCCCTCCTATGTTGGGGCTGGCAGAGCTGGTGGGCACCAGTGGGCACAAAGTTTCCCTGCCCCGAGTGGAGCCTCCCTGGGCTCCCCCTCTCCCCGGCTCTCAACATCCTGGGGGCAAGCTCCTGGTTAGCAAGGCATCCCCACATGCTCTCCCCTCCACATCCACGTGGCTGAGACAGTTTAGGCTCTGATTCCTATGGTGACCTCGTTCTCTGCATCTTGCAGGGTTCCATGACCCCACAGGCCTGAGAAAAAGGGAAAAGGCAGTACAGGGGACCTAAGACCCTGGCTTCCACTCTCTCTCCCTTGGGAATACAGGTTCCAGCCCTTACAGGGTAAAGCCTGCACCTCACCCCAAGCCCCTCCACGGGAGAGGGCCTGCTGGCTCAGGAACAGCATGGGGGGTGAGGGGGCAGTCAGAAGAGGCTGGGGGTGGCTTGGCCAGGCGCGTCGTGGTCCCGGATGTACTGTAAGATGTCCATCTCGTCCATGGCTTGGATCTGCTGCTGCTGCTTCCGCTGCCCGGCCACAGCCTCAGATGGGCTTGCTGTGGGGGGAACAGCTGGCTTTCTGAGCAGCACTGGCTTAGCTGCCACTGGAGGCTTGGGCTTGGGCCTGGGCCTGGGCTGAGGCTGGAGTCTGGGCTCAGCTCCCAGGTTGAGAATCTGGTCCAAGTCCTCTTCGACTCTAGAGAACCAGAGAGAGAAGCTCTGAGCACAACCTCCTGCAAAAGGAACAAGGGTCCCCGGCCATGAAAGGCACCCCCCCACAACAGGGCACTGGGCCCAGCTTCCCATCTCATCCCCGGGGAGGAACTGAAGGGTAAGCCTCTCCTTCCCTGCAGCCCCAGGGCCCAGCACGAGCACAGCCGGCCCCTCAGGAGCCTCTGCACTCCTAGACAAGCTGTCTTCTTCAGGTGACTTTTCTTTTAACCCCTCAGAAATAACAGTAACAGCCGCCACATACAGAGCACCTGCTCCATGCCAAGCACTTTAGACCCATTATCTTGTTTTATCCACCAACAACCCTTGGTGGGGTACAGCCCAATCTCTACCCCACAGACATACACATTCAAGTCCTAAGAGGCCAAGCCACCTGCCTGAAGTGACAGCATGTCACCAGGATGACAGGATGTCTGACTTCAGAAGCTAAGCTCTCATCCAGACCATATTCAGCCAGAGAAAGAATAAACGAGGGGCTCCGAGCTGTTGTGGGGTGGGGTCTGCCTGCCCCCAGTGTCCCCTGGTGGGCCACATGGGCGCTAGACAGAGCACACCGGGGGCTGCACTGAGCCCCAGCCAGCGCCCATCAGGACTGCACCACACCCTGGACCTAATGTTCCTTCAGCAGGTGGGACTGAGGGCTGCAGCAGGGTGATGGTCACACAGAACCAGCCCCAGGTACTGAATAGCAGGAAAGAAAGGCAGGCCACAGCCCTGCTCTGCCCTCTGCCTGAGGGACCTCCTGCAGCAGGGACTCAGTTCCTGGAGACCAGATGCACAACAGAAGATCCATTCAACCCATCCCACCACCTGCCCATCCAATCAACGTTGTGCTGAGTACCTACCATGGCCAGGCATTTCCACATTCATTAGCTCATTTAATAATCATAAAACACTGTTTGGTAGTAGATATTAGTCACATTTACAGATATGAAAACTGGGGCACAGAAAGATGAAGGGCCTGGCCCGGGGCCCACAGCCAGCAGGTGGAGGAGCAAGGCTCCGAGTGTGGCTGGGTCACCAGGTGTGTTTGCCTTCCTGGGGCACCAATGCTCTGAAGCCCCTTTTCCAGCTTCAGGTCAGGGTTTCTCCAGGGTCCAGGGTCCCTCTTTCTAATCAGAGGCCACAGGCCCTCCAATCACACCTGGCAGGTGACTCTCCTGGGTCTGCTGCCTCTGGCAAAGGAGCGTCTCTTGGAGCCTCTCAAACACCTGCGTCCTCAGGGAATTCTCGCTGGGCCAGGCCTCAGGACACCTGCTGCTCTTTCTTCCTGTCCATTAGCAGAGGACAGTCACTCAGAGAAGACCCAAAGCAAGGAGGGCTGCAGAATATGTGGGCAGGGCCTTTCCCCTTCCTGGGTGTTGGTGTCCCCATCTGTGAAGGGCCCAATGAGGTCATTTCAGGAATGCTGCAGCCTCCAGAAGATGCTGAGAAAGAATGACCTATCAGTGCTTTCACCCCTTTCCCAAGCTGAGCGGCGTGCTTTCCTGGCCTAAGTGGGGGTCGGGAACGACACCCCAGACCATGTTCCCGGGGACACAGCAGCCTCTTCCCTGTGCCCCTGCAGAAACTGCACTGGCCAGGCTGGTCTGCAGGAGACCCAGGACTGGAGGGAAGATCTGATAACTGTATCCCGGGGGCTTTGGTAGAGTCACATGGAAAGTTCCCACTGAAATCCAAGGGCCAATTTTAGAACTCCTAAAGTGGGGTCCTGGGCCTTTTTCCCTAAACCCATGACCAGCAGAGATCCAGGCAGGCTGCTGGGCCAGGAGGCCCCATGTGTCTAAGGGAATGTTGACATGCTTCATTCAGCCACGCTGGGGACGAGGGAGGGAGGGCACAGGCCCTGGAGGCAGAAGACCCAGGGGGCCTCACTTGGCCTCTCCAAGCTTCGGTTTCCTCATCTGCCAACTGGCTACAGCATCACCCTGCAGAGGTGCAACACCGTGCACTTAGAAGCACAGCACAGCAGGCAGAACGCAGTTCCGTTCCTCATCCTGCTCCTCAGGCCACCCCACCTCCCTGTCCTCACCTCCCCATCTGTGAATGGGATCCAGCACAGACACTGGCAGGGCTGGGTAGAGGCAGGAGGAGAGGGGAGGCACCTTCAGTCAGAACAACTCCCGGCCCTACAGGGCCTGGCAGAGGCCTGCATGAAGATGGAGGTGCCCCATACCACCCTTTCTGACCCCAAGGGAAGAATTCAGAGCCTCCATGGATGGCAGAGAAGTGAGCAAAAGGTGTTTCTCCAGTCTAGACCCGGAGGGATCGGCCCAGCCAGGCCTTCACAGAGTAAGTTCCAGGCAGTCCCAAGAGGCATCACCCTGGGATGGGCTGCCCTTGGCAGCTCAGTTCAGATGGGTCCCAGCTCTCTTCAAGCAGCTGCCCTTCCTCAGGCTCCCCTGGGGCAGGTGCTGGCTCATCCTGCATCCTCCACTGGAGGCTGGATGCCCAGGAAAAGCTCAGAAGGACTGAATAATCCTCAAACAGGGACCCTCAGGGAAATAAAGTAGCAGCTAAAAGCTTGTGTCAGAGTTCAGGATTTATACTGCTTGGCAAAGCAGTGACTCTTTGGAACTAACCAGAAACTGGATTTGCTCTGAGGTGGGAGGTGGGGCAGTCCCTCTCAGGATGCAGCTGGCCACACAGCATCCCTTTCCAAACATCCTATTTCCATCAGGGTTCCCTGAGGTCACGGCTAAAAACAGGTTCCACTGATGCAAGATCCAGTTCCCCTCTCTTTCAAGACCTGCGGTGTGAGATCAGCCACCAAGGGGCTGGATGGAGGTCTGAAGACCCCATTCCTACTCCTCCTCCCCAGGTCCCTGCAGAGGACAGGACTTGGCTAAAGACCAAAACTGGGGTCCCAGAGCAAGAAGGAATGGGGGCTTCTCAGACTCCAAACCCTGCTCAAACGCCGCTCCACGCTGCCTCGGGATGGCTGATGCCAGTGATGGAACGAATGGGCGATGAAAGCATCAGTGGATGAATGAATATTAGAAAGTTTGTTATAAGGAAGCCTGATTCCTGCCTGGATAGTCACAGGACACACACAAAGGGAAATAAAATACGGTTCCTGCTCTCAAGAAGCAAATTTGCTCTTCACCAGATGTCTGGTAGAGCGAACGCAGGGCCACAAGACTCCCAGAGTATTCTGTGGGATGTAGGGGGCTTTACAAAGGAGAGGGTCCCAGAGACCAACTGGAACATGAAATGCTGTGTGGTGTCCCCCTCGAGCCACACGTGCCCACACACTGAAGGCTTGGAAAGCACTGGTATTGCCCTAGCCATCTGGCCACAGAAAACCTTTGAACGTAACACTTTTGAACATCCACCCCGAATTGACAGAACATGGGTTGGAAAGGGTCAGCATAACAGATTTAGAACAAATGATGCCAGGAAGGTCCCCCTGGAGCTCCTCAGCGAGGACACACTGAGTCCTGGGGACACAGAGGCCCCCTGGGCAGCTCTCCAGGGATGACCCTACTACTCTGCCTCCCTGTGCCTCCGTGTCACTTCTAAACCCATGACAACAGCCCCAGCTTCTCCCAGGGAGTATTGTTGCCAGGCTGTCAGGGGTGAGGACGCAGGATGAGAGTGAACAGCTGCTGGGGGCCGTGGGGAGATGTAATGACAAGGAGCCATCGCTGTGATTCAGGCTTGGTGAGCGCTCACAGGGCCATCTCCTAGCCCGCGGCTGCTAATGAGGGTGCGGACGACAGCCTCCTGGGACCACACAGCCTGGCGCCATGTAACTGTTCCTGTAAAGAGACAGCTCGGCGTCCTGTAAATCGCCCAGCACAGCCTGCATCCCCGGGGCACGGATGGGGTGATGGAGGGACTCACAGTGCCGCGCGTGCTGAGAAGGCAGTGGCACAAGCAGCAGCCTCGGGAGAGCCTGCTAGCCCTGGGGTGGGAGGCGAAGGCGATCTGCCAGCCTCTCCTCCTCCAGGCACTCGGAGTCCTGGAAGGGTGGGGAGGACGGGACACAGGCAGGCTGACCTGGGCTCCAATCCTGTCACTTGGGAGCTGTGGCCTTGGGCCAGTCACCTCCCTCACTCTCCATTTTCTATGAAATGGACATAATAGCACCCATGGGGAGTAGAGTGGGGGCTGTTGTGAGGATTAAGTAAGGTAACGTGTAGAGAACCAGCAGACAGTTTGACGTGCAGCATGCGCGCTGTGGTTGTCAGCTTTACACGTGTTCTGTCGATCAGCCTCCAGGTGCCAGGCTAAGCCTGGCTGTCTGCTCTGTAAAGCCTGCCAGTGACCGACCACTGCCGGTACATCTGAGCTTTGCTCTCTGCAGATGACTGCATGCTACCAGGAGTCAGTTTTACTTGTTTCCAAACCTGTTTATGCCAGCTATATTTGCTCTTGCAATTACAGAATTTAATTACTCTTTATATAAACTATTTGTATGCATGAAGTTCTCTCTTTCTAGAACCTGCTGAGCTGCTTCCACCTCCCCCAACCCCCTTTCACCAAATCCCCTTCACTGCCCCCTGACTGGCTTCCACCCACAGGCTCCTGCCTCTGATGGGCCAGGACTCCCTCCCTCAGAGCCCAAGGATGGTGAAACCCTCCCACGTCAGGATGGGTCCCTGGCTCTGGCCAGGCCACTCTCAGAGCTGGCAAAGCATTGCTGGGGACAGATAGTACCTAAACAGGTCCTTGGAGGCCTCCCTGTGGTCTGCGCAGGACGTGGGCCCTCCACGCTCGTGGGCAGCTGGCAGCAGTAGGGGGTCACCCAGGGGGACGGCTCCGCCGAGGTCAGGATCGTCAAACAGTTTCAGGGCTGTGGAGAAGGCAGCAGCAGAGCGGTCAGAAGTCCTGGCCTGTCCTCAGCTGTCTGGGGTGTGCAGGTGGAGACAGTCTGGCCCAACCTCCTGACACAGCCAGGGAAGAGGGAGTCAGCTGGTCTCTTCTGTCCGCAAGGCAGGGCACAAGAGCCGCAGGACAGGGGCCGAGTGGGGGTGATGGGAAAGAGCTCCCTGGGGCCCGGCACACTGTCTGCCTGCCCCCGCCATCCATGCTGGGCCAGAGACAGCTGATGGCATCACTCTGGTTTTAGATCCTCGCAGCCTCCCCACTGCCTTTAGGAAGAAACAGCCTCTTCAGCTCACTGTCCCCACGACCCCAGGCAGCTGAATCTCTTAGCTTGGCCCCCAGGGCTGCACCCCAGTCTTCCAACAAGTGCTCACTGAGTGCCAACCACCAGCCCAGGGCTGCCGCCTCTGGGATGCAGTGCTGAGCAGACACTGCTTGGACTGCAGCCCCTCCCTTCGAGGAGCCGGAGTCTGCTCCCCACGCTCTCCCCATCTCAACTGCTCAACGCTGCCCTTTGTGAAAGGTGACTGCAGCCTCTTCACCCAGAATATGCTTTTTCAGTAGGCCTGGCAAACTCGGACGACCTTCCAGGATCCAGCTCAAGCACAGCTCCTCAAGCTGACCCTAACCTGGGAAGTCTTCCCTGTGTCCCCACAGGCACTGATGTTTTGCTCAGACCTGAGGCCCAGGCTACCCTGTAAATGTCAGGAGATGTCCTGTCTCTGGTGGGAGGCCTGGGGCTGGGACTGTGTCTTACCAGCCATGTGTTCTCAGGCCCTGCACAGAGCTTGGCCCTCAGTGGGTGCTCACCAAGTGCCAGCTAAATTCATGGATGACATCAGTTCCCTCCCCTGGACGGGACCTGGGAGAGGGAGGAAAGGTCAGACCCAGGGACGAGTGTGGAAGTCCCAAGGCTGCTCAGCTTTCCTGTTCCAACTCCGCACAGAACCCTCCTGTGAGGTCTCTGCCAGGGACACACAACCTCTCATTAGAATCCAAGTCACGCGGAGTCCCAGGGTGCTGCGGGCAGGCTGGCGTCCACTCTCCACCTGGGGCCATCTGGCCGCAGGTGTAACGAAGGTACTTTTACATCAGTCACAACCCACACTTTCCAAAGCAACAAAAAAAAACGCCCTCTGCTTCCGAGGAGTGATTAAACATACAGCCCTGGAATGTTCCAGGCTGTGGGGACACAAGGTGCCAGACTAGATTTCTCCAGCAGAAAATCTCCATTGACTGAGTCTGTATCGTGTCAAAATAAGAGAAGGGAAGACTTCCAACCTGCTCGCATGTGGTGGGTCCAAAGCCGCTCACAGAGGTTGGTCGGGCCACCCACAAGACCCCGAGAGTGAAGGGAACACCCTGGGGATCTACTTACAGTCCTCTGCGGAGCCCTGGGGACAAGGCTTCCTGACTGGGCCGAACAGCCCCTCATCGGGGTCCACCTCCTCATCAAAGATGGTGAGCCGGGGTGGGGGTTTGGGCGTCATGGCCACTTCAGGCCGTTTCTTGGGTTTCTTGGAGCTGGAGAATCACAGACAGAACCCGAGGTTAGGGCTTCGCACAAGAGCCCTGCCGGCTGGCCTGGGTGGCCTGGCCAGACTCACAGAGGCATTGGACAGGCTTGAGCTGGTGTCAGGGAGGAACTTTCCAAGGCCTCAACAACGGAGGCAGTGAGACACTGCTCCTGAGAGCCTGGGGAATGGCGCTGTTAGGACGTGTGGGAAGAGCTGCCAGGCATCTAGATGACACAACCGACTACAGACCGTTCCCAGCCCCGAAGGGCCGGCAGGACTCGGACCTGCCTGTGTGGCTGCAGGTCAGAGAACGTGCCCTCCTTCCGGGGCAGCGGGGGCCACCCGACCTCAGTGCTCCCTGGGGCCAGGCTCAGAGAGTCACCCTACAGCCGCTCAGTGACGGGGTGGATGCATGTGAGCCTGCAGAGCTCAGGGCCTGGACCCGGGGCAGAACAGATGGCAGCCCTGGTCAACATTCCCTTGTTCCCTCCCCACACATCCCCCTCTCCTTGTGCAGAATAACCTCCATCATTCCAGAAAACACTTCAGTCCCACTGAGCAAACCCCGTCTCCTTCAGGGAACCCCTCTGACCACTCAGAGTCCCAGTCAGCTCTGCACCCCTCGGGTCCCTTTACATCTCATTTACTGGCTGGCCGAGGTCTTGCTTTGGACCAGACGCTGCTGCGGGACGCCAGGAGGGGGCTTTATTTCCTGACCCACGTAGGGGTTACATGGTGTAAACCTTCAGGGACACGTCACTGGAAGTTATATTGCCAGTAAATAAATTAACTTGGTTTCATTTTAACAAGGTGATCCAATCCCTGTGTTGATGCCTAAATTAGCCATTTTAACATTCCTGCAAACAACAAAAACAAGCTTTTAACTGGAAGTGGGATTTCCCGGCAACTGTCTGCCCGGGGGACCGTTCCACTGGACTAAGGTCACCGTCTGAGCTCAAGCTGGCAATTACTATGTGGTTAAACTGTGCTGATACTGCGGTAAAAATGGCACAGACTGACAGCAGGTGAAAACTGTTGCAGGGCGGCCCTGGGTGTTGCAGGGCAGGGTGCCCAGAGGCAGTCATTTCCACGGTCTGGATTTAGATGTCTGGTAGAATTTCGGGCTCCCAGAGGAGATGGGGAGAAGCTATGAAATGTGGGGACGCACCTGCTGGAAGGCAGCAGGACCAACGCACCTCCATGCTCGGGGCCAAGGCCCCTGGGGAAAGAGCTCTGTTGGCAGACCGAGGAAACAGTGGTTCAGAGAAGCTGGGTGTCTGCTCAAGGCCACACAGCAGGCAAGGCCAGAGACTCGACGGCAGCACCCCAGTCCCTGCTCTCCCTCCATCCCAGGTACAAGCCAGACAGACAGGCTCAAGCCGCAGATTACCGGGGCCACGCCTCTGTCACGGTGCCACCTCCAGGCCCTGCCTGTGGTGCTCGGCGAGCTGAAAGGGGCCTGGGCTCCTCCGGAAACTACATCTGTGCCTCCTCATGCACCTTAAGGAGTCAGGGTGTCCTGCTCTCCTGGGATGTTTTCCTTTTGTTTCACAGACCAGGCAGACCCCAGGCAGCCCTAACAGCCCCTGGGAAGTGGGTACCACAGAGGCCCTGGCCCTCAGGACAGGCCAGCTGGAGACGGCCCTGGTCGAGACCCGCTGCGTCCGGACCCGCTGCGTCCAGATTTCCATGGCAGCCCTGGGAGCTGTTTGCATCTCTGTGGACTCTCCTGGCCACTGGCCCAGCCTGGGGCCCGAGGGCTTTGCCCCACCACTGTCCCTCAATTTCCCATCACAGCTGCCCTTTGCTTGGCCCTGCTCCTGGGTCTGGCAGGCGCTGCAGCGGTGAAGGGCAGAGAGCCCCCAGCTGTAGCCCCCAGGGTTGGTGGGGGGGCTAGGGCTGGGCCTCACCGCCCACAGGTCCACCCTGCTTGGAAACTGGCAGGCCTGAAACCCCAGGTGGGGAAAGACATTCACATCTTCCTCAGCAGACGGGGCCCCAGGGGCAGGGGCTGGGGGCTTCCCATGGGCCAGAAATCAAAGGATGCACAGAGAGAAGGGAAGGTCCGAAGAACAAAGGAAGTGAATGAACAGACGTGATTAATTATCTCTGGAGAAGCCACACAGAGACTGCAATGATTCCCCTTCTCGCACCTACTTCTGGTTCGGAGAGCACAAATTAGGCCTGACTTTCCTGCTATGTGAGTTTTCCCCTCAGACTGGATGAATGGTCTTGTTTTTCTCCCCAGAGACATTTTTAATCTTTTGTTGTCTTTACTTGGAATGAAGCAATCCTACAGCACACGGGGCTGCTCAGACACCATCTGAACCCCACCCCACTCCCCCCGGGCCGTCCAGTCTCCCCGACTCCCCTGAGCCGACTCCAGGGGGGACAATAACAAGAGAAACACGGAGCTTTGACGGCCGAAAGCCCGAGGGTCCTGTCCTGGTTGGCCCCAAATTCAGTCCCTGGGGGCTCAGTGGTGTGCCTGGTCCCGAGCAGATGCTCAATAAATATTAGATGAAAGGACGGATGGATGGAGGGGTGGCAGAGGGATGCACAGACAGATGAACGAACAGACGGACAGACAGGGTGACAGTATATCTCTAATCCAGACTTATTTCTACCTCCTTCCCCAGGGAGCGGGGAAAGGGGGTGAAGAGAGGGGGGCTCCCAGCATCGTCTCAGAGACCCTCCACTCCATCGCTCCTCCTCCAAAGATCCCTCCACTAGCCCCTCGGCTCTCCTGTAAGGAGCCCATCCTCTCACCCTGAGCACTTTGTCTGACTCGGCGCTCAGTGAGCACATCTCCTGGGCAAGAACCTGTGCGAGTGAGGAGGGCGCAGAGATGAGGAAGACCTGGCACCATCTCCAGAAGCTCACAGCCGAGCAGAGTCCCAGACACAGACTGGTAACTACCACACAGGGCAGTAATTACATGACAGCCGGAGCCCAGAGGAAGGAGCCAACCCAGCCTGACGGCTTCCTAGAGAAGGTGACATAGAGGTAAACAGTGACATGGGGCAGGAGGGGTGCAAGAACGGGAGACTGACTTGGGCAGAGACCCTCAGTCTCTGCGGGGATGTGGGAGGCGTGACTCGGGCACGACCAGGAACCTGGTCCCTGGTCCCCCGTGGAAGGTTTGCTCCTGGTCCACAGAGAAATGATCAGGGCCTGGACTGGGGGAGACTGGGAGAACTGGCAAAGTGCTGACAAATGTGGACTACTGAAGTGACTCAGGGGCAGAAGGGACATGTTTCGAATGGTGCCAGGCTCCGACTCAGGACAGGATAGGCACTTCACATGTGCGATGAGATATGGACTCCGAGCCCCATTCCTTCCCCTTGCTCACTGGTCATGTGAGCAGGGACTCAGGCTGACCCAGGGGCTACGGCCCTGGTGCCCCTCCATCCCCCTCTCAGCTCCTCTCCACCCGTGTCCACCCACCCGTCTGCAGGACACCCCACCCATCTCTGCTGTGCCTGCCTGAGGACACACTACCCAGCTGTGCTGTCCTCACCTGCCAGCCCACCCTCTGCACCGAAGCTATAGAGAATGCCTCACCTCTCCCTTTACCAAGGGAAGGCTGGTACAGTTAGACTCCTGCCACCAGGGATGGGGCAACTGAGCATCAGACAAAGAGGTCTAGGATGGACGAAGCTGCAGCTCCTGACCTTGTGTAGATCCCCACACAGCACAGGTGGCGTGAAGTGGGTAGGGGCTCCCTGGATGGGTGCAGGCCTGTGGAAGCGTGCTCCTGCGCTACACACGTATGTGCCTAGACACACATCAGCTCTCCTGCTGTGTGTGCCTGACAGGAGGCAGCTGTCCAGACCAGGCCACATTCTGCAGGCAGGCGTGGAGCGCACTTGGGTGAGAGGCAGCAGATGCCACAGCTGACAGCTCTGACAGGCCAAGAAGCGGCCCTGCTCCATGGGGCTCAGTGACAGTGATTAACACAAGAGCATCCTCCCCTGCGGCCACCCAGGGGGCTTGTGTCAATGCTCCCATATGTACCTGCCCCCCACAGCCCTGGACCCAAGCGCACTTGAGCTGCAGAGGCATCTCCTAGACTAAACAGAAAACGGTGGATCCTCTCAATGCCAAGACTCACAGACAACACGACTGTTACCTTCAAAGCCAGGGTGATGCTAAACCAAATACAGAAATCAACCTCCTTTCCAAGCATACAACTTTCCTGCTTTAAAATAAAGGACTTTTCATTTTTCAAACCTTAATTTCAGTTTGTTTGTTTGTTTTCTCAATTAGGGAAAATTCTGAGTGCCAATAAACGAACTTGTGAAGTTCATTCCAGGACAATGTTATTTGCAGCAACAGTACCAGGCAACGGACTTCTACAGTGACCCGATTACAAGAGTCAAGCAAAATCACGGAGGAGAGGCATTCATCCCATGGGCCTGGGCCTGCCTTGCCAGGACAGGGGATTCAGGGAAGCACTGGATAGAAGGATGAGCAGGGTCGGGAAAGCTGTGCTTCAGGCAGAGAATAGCCCTTCAAAAACTCTGAGATGGGAGGAGCTCAGCATATTCAGGTGTCCAACAGCTGGACCAGCAGGCATGGCTAGAGGAGGAGGGTCTGAGGGGAAGTCAGGACCATATCCTGAAGGGCCAGGGGAGGTTCTGACTGCTCCCGAGGGAGGAGCACTGTAGGGGGATGCGGAAGAACCTGTGTATGACCCCGGGCCAGTCGTTTCACTCTTGGAGTGTTTCCTTATCTGCTCAACGGGAGTAAGGAATCCTGCTGGATGGTGCCCTACTGTGTGATCTTGGGAAGGTTCCTCAACTGTAGCCATAAAGACACTGGATTTGACCTCTAGTTGCTTACAGTTTAAAGGCTCTGTCATTCCAAGAATGCACTGACTTGGGCGCTGCCACAAGGCTCCCGGGCAGCCTGAGACAGGGGAATGGCAGGTATGACCTCCTAAGACTCGATCCCCCAAGGAGTCAAGTTACCATTTAATCCCATCAAAGACAGCCAAGCAAGCCTTGTCCTCCAGTGACACAGACTGCAGGAGGCAACCCTCCCACCTTGGGAGAGAGCTGGCTTGCTGCAAGCTTGACAGATGTATAGGTGGCCTGTTATGCTGATATTTGCGTAACAACAATAGGGAATGGAAAAGCCACCTTGCCATTTCAACTATTTAAATACCCCAGGGCTTCTTTACAGCAAAGTAAATCTGAAAGAGTAATAACATCACACAAAAGAAATTTCCTGTACTTCACCTCATTTTATACTTACAACCACTAGGCTTGGACTTTAAATTACAAAGAGGAAAACTGAGGCTCTGATAAGTTCCATAACCCAGTTGCTAAGTGGCAGAGTTGGGATTTGAACCTGGAAAGGTTCTGTCTCTAACCCTGCTCTGGGGTGACCACACATCCTAGCTTTCTCAGCAGCTTTAAACCACACTCAGGATCCCTGACCCTCTGCAAAGGAGCCCAAGGCCACCTGAGAGGTGGGCTGAGGCCGAGGGGGCAGAGATCCAGTCCCCACTCCTGTCCCAACAGGGCCAATCCTGTCCCTCGGGAAGCTGAGGGTCCTCAGGGAACTGAGGCCGAGAGGGGGCTCCCTGGGAACTGGGGCAAGAGGTGGGTGCGGCAGTAGGCCGTGTGGGTGGGTAGTGTTGGAAAAGAAAAAAACTTACCAACATAGGGCAATAAAGTCCCAAAAGACCCCTTCACTGGAGTGGCACAACTAAGACCCCAGCAGGAGCTCTGGGGACCTTGCTCTGGGGTAGGCATCTGGGGAGAAGCCCAATAGAATAAACACTCCACACATGAGCAAGTTCTTCATTGCCTGGAATAGCAAAAACCAATGGAAGACACCACAGTGTCCCCAAGCAGGGGCCTGGCAGTACCATTTACAGAGCATCAGTCTGACGGACTAGCAGAAGAAGACAGAAGTCTATTTATTGATCTGGAAAGACTCAGTATGTAAGCTAGAAAAAAAAGCAACTTAAGGAATGGCGTGCATAACATGATTCCATTTTAGTAATATATCAGGAATATACAAAGAGGATGCCTTCACAACGAAAGGACTTTCAACTGTGGTTTCAATTTTTCTATTATTAATTGTAAATTATTTGCATTACAATTAAAAATGCTTCCAGCAGAGTATTTCCCAGAAGAAGGCAGAACTATTATGGGAGAACTTTGTCTTTCTCAGAACTGTGAAGTCTCTAAAATAGAAAAGTTAAATATGAAAACTATGTTCCACAGGGAAAGTGATCATGAGGACATTAAGTGAAAAAGCAGAGTGAAAAAAAGACGTGTGCACTCTGTCTGCAGTTATGGGGATTGGACCAGGACAGGGATACACAAAAATCCCCAAAATAGGAGAGCAGCAGTGTTGGGATGGGCGGCGATGAGGTCTATTAGGTTAAAAAGGCACTTTCTAGTGGTGTAGTCATATCTCTCCCTAATCAGAACCAGGTTTAACAGACAAAGAAGAGTCAGGCTTTGTGCGTCCACCTTCCAGCAGCCCCACAGTGGAGCAACAGTGCCCCACCGTGGCCACAGCAGGAAGGGCTGACGCCTGTCGCCTAGAAACGTGGCTGCTGCAAGAAGGCCAGAGCCAGGCCCAGATGGGCGCATGGGGGTGGCGTGGCGCGAAGCTGGGAAAACAGGGATGCCTCATCCGCAGAGGAACTGAGGCACAGGATGGAGAAATAC